TTGGGCTTCATCTTCTATAGGAAAAAGCTAGCTAGAGTGCCAAAGGCAATGTCAAATGATTTCTGCGACTTGCTATCGGAGGTAACGTAACCATTAAAAAGCAAGCAAGAAATCATAGCAACACTGGTCACGTATGTTTACGGTTTACACCACGTGGTGTTTTACACTGATTCAACAACTAGAAAATAAAATGCTTTAAATAAAATTATTATTAGGAATGAACTCTACTTGCAGTTTTAACATAAAAACTCATCTATGCAGAAAATCCTAGCATGACTAACAGAATGCGCAAACCTGACATTGTATTACAGTCAATGTACATATAAATATACCTTTCCTCCAGTGTCAAATCTTTCTGCCTGTAATTATAAGAATGCATCCCAGTTATTAATAAATATAGTACAAGTATTTACAAAAAAAAAGGAGAGTCTGTTTTGTGACTATGAGCCTGTTTCTAGAGTACCAGAGCATTACATGCTAAACAGCTGATTTACAGTTAGTGCTTTTAGCTGTGTAGGAGTAGTAGACTGCTCCTCCAGACCAGTGGTCTCCAAACTGTGGCCCAGGGGCTGGATGTGGCCCTTTGCTTGACTTTATCTGGTCCTTGGGGCATTATTCTACAGACATCAATGATAGGGACTCCAAAGACATGCTGGTAGGTTAATTGGTTCCTGTCTAAATTGACCCTAGTATGTGTATGTATGAATGAGAGTTAGGGACCTTAGATTGTACACCCCTTGAGGGTTAGGGACTGATGGGAATGTAAAACACAGTATACAAGTAAAAAGCGCTGCATAAATTGATGGTGCTATATAAGTACCTGAAATAAATAAAAATAAAATAGGACACCATTCCCCTTGCTGACACCATCAATGGGGCACTATTCTTTGCATTGATGCCTACAATAGGTCACTATTCCTCCCATTAAAACCAATGATTGGGCACTATTCCTCCCATTAAAACCAATGATGGGGCTCTATTATTCCCATTGAAACAAATGATGTATGGATTATTTTCTACTCCTACTGGCCACAATATGGCCCCCCTAAAGGAGAGTAAACTGGCCCTTTGCTTAGAACGTTTGGAGACCCCTGCTCTAGACTGACAGACACCAGAAGGTGTCAACAGGGAACAAAGATATTACTGGAATATTGCTACAGTCTGCCGTTTCCTATATATATAGCAAAGGACAATACTCATGTTGTGAATAGCTAGGTACTGTACAGTAGGGAAATGATCATACTAAATTTCAAACGAACGGAAATTCTTTAAATTAAATATGTACATTAATGACCTGCTTTGTAGCTAGTATGAAACCTATACAATTGTTTGTATTGCACTAGTGTAAGTATCACACCTTTTACCATAACATTATGACTTCTACTGTTTAAAATGATCTGCCGTCACAGAGGCAGCCAGTTTTGTAGTCTGTAAAAATAGTCAGGCCATTAATTATATGTAAAAAATGATAACACTGTGGCATCGCTTTGACATGTGTGCACGCGTTGTAGTCAGGGAGCTTACTAAATTTGTAGCGACATATTTGTGTCCCTACTTTAACCTCTTCACGACACGGTTACACATATAGGCGACGTCCCGGAGGTGGGCTTTAAACACTTACCAGACACTTTCTTCCCCTTCCTGCCCAAGCCAGTTTTCAGCGCTGTCGCACTTGAGTGACAAATAGTCATATAACATTGTAACCAAAGCAACTTATCATTTTTTTCAAAGAAATAGAGCTTTCTTTTGGTGGTATTTAATCACCACTGAGTTTTTTTATTTTTTGCTAAATAAACAAAAAAAAAGTGTTTTATTAATTTCTGTTATAGAATGTCTTTGGTATAAATTAACCCAAATCAGTGTATTTAGTCTGTAGGAAAGTTAGTCCACAAACATTAATATATATATTTGAAAATTGATCTAATTTCTTGAAGCTCAAAAATGCCGGGACAGTACATACAGCCCCAAAATTTTGTAAAGTACATAGTCCAATGTATTTAGTAAGAGGAATAGTGAGTTTTTTGAAGTTGTAGATTTTTGGTGACAATTTTTTGGAAAGTGAATTTGAATTTTTTATTTGAAACATACTTTCACTAGTGCAGCACAACATCATCATATGACTGGTGTGGCAGTGAGCAGGGCACTGACTGGTGACAGTATGTAAAAAAATTAAACATTTTTTCAACTTTTTTCTTTTCTCTAGTAGAACTGTGTTTTTACAATTTTTTTTTAACATACTGAGCATTACAGTGTTACCTGGGAAGGTGATTAGCAATGATTGCTCTTAACAGTAATAATCACTGGTAAACAACCATTTTTTTTTTTTTATGAATGACATCCATTGAGTACTATTGTGAAGCTGTAATTAGCCACAGCTATCACATAGTACACACTGTGACTGGCCCTGTATGTACCATGTGATCACTGTGACCAATCACAGAGATCAACACAATAATACTCAATGAATGGCTATCAATGGAAGCTATTCATTGTCTACAATTGTTATGTGATCTGCTGTGATTGGCCACATCAATCACATGGTCCTGGCAGCGGCTCTGTACACTGATCTGCTATCCACCGGACACAGCGGGTGACAGATCGCGCCACAGTGTGTGACCTGTGGGGTGTGATCCTGGGAAGACGTCATATGACATCCACTCAGGATGGCAGTGCTCCCGCTTACCTGTCATATTATAATAGGCCTGGTGGGAAGCGGTTAAACCTAGGAGCTTTATATATGTGTGCTTTTGTTTGTGCTCGAGTGTACTCGATTGTGAGCTCTGAGAAGTGAGAGTCCCGGTTGCCGATAGACTCTGATTGGATATCATATTGGCCAGTCACTGTACACCCTGACCCTGGGTTTATTTTCTCCCATTGTATTTTTCTCTCCTTGCCAGGGGAAAAAAATGTGTGGTTAAAAAAAACAAAAATAAAGAAAAAAATTGTTTTGATCTAGGTCAGTGTGAGGGTCAGTATATTTTCAGGTAGGACTTAAAATTATTTTTTTTAATCAGTATCAAATGTGCACTATTATTGTTTCTGGGCCCTACTATACGCACATACAACAAATAATATACACATGTGGTATCACTGTGATTGTCAGGAGCAGGAGAATTTATTTTGGGTTGTTCTTTGGTGGTAAGTTACTGCAATAGCAAGAAAAATACAGCTAAATTTAAAAATGATTTGTTTTTACTATTCTGGGACAGTTTTCCTTTTATTGTAATAAAAAAAAAAAAAAAACAGGGAGATATCTGTTATTATTTACCACCAAATGAAAGCTCAATTGTCCTGAAAAAACAAGGTGTAATTCACCTGGATACACAAAGTAGTTGCAATCATATATACAGTTCTACTAAAACAAGTCAAATGTCAAAGTTGCAGAACTGAGTCTAGGTGTTAAGGTTTGCTTTACCTTCCATCATGAAGGAGTTAAGGCTCCTTTTAGTGTTTGCTGCACTTGTCAACCTGTCTGGACATGTATTCCTACAAGAGGCCTTGGAATATGTTTGTGCTTTCCTTCTGCTTGTTGTTTTACATCTTTTAACTTAAATCTTCCTATGACTTGACATGACAGGGCTCATACCTGGTGACTGACTGCTCAGGTACCACACACTGCCATCAAGAGAGGTGGTGGAGAGGGTCACATGCTTCCCTTTATCCAGACGTTCCTGTTACTTTACAAGGCCATAATCCTCAAATTGGGACGCAGAGGACCACAAGGAATTAAATATATATCACAGATACTGTTAGTTTGTTTTGAATGATCCTAATAATAGGTTTACTATTTACTAGGAATAGGTATGCTAAGGCGGACAACAAGTGGAAGGGAGACCCTAATAAATGTGCTCTTTTTAATAAGAACACAGTACAAGGAACTACAGGGAAAAAAAAGGGGTCCAAAAAGTCCTAGTCATGTGACAGTAAACTTCCACTAGTTTCCAAGCACCATGTTAATTGTGCGACCTGTTATTACTTCTCTTTCAGGTCTAGTTTGTGATAAATGCCACAGCAACATCAAGAGTTCCTAGACTAACTAATATATTACATAGAATGACTGGCCCTGCCTACAAGACTGTTGCCCCCAGCAGACGCAAGATACACTTTAATGGACATATAAACACTAACAAAAGTCAACTACAGACTGCTTAAAGAAGCCAGCACAAAACATTTGAGACTGTACCATATTTGTTTTTCCTCGTCAGTAGCCAGTTTTTAAAAAAAAAACGATCCTCGTTCTCGTGTTTTCTCCAACACCTGCTTTTGAACTGAATCCACAAAAGTGGTGGGAGGGTCTACACGTTTGACACATAAAAACAGATGGAACGATATTTGGTTTGGGAAGACATAATTTGGCACTGAGGAAGAAATAAAAGTGCTATGATTCCCTAGCTTATCACTTCTGCGATTTTACGTGGGGACAGACGATTCCAGCACCGTACTGCATCATACAGCTATATACCTGATAGGCCAATATCTCAGCATAGCTCCAACTGTCTTAAGCAGTTCCTCCATACCAAGGCAGTGTCCTATGTCGTTTTGGCGACAGCTAGTGAAGATCATGATTGACTGAATCTAGATAATGAAAATTACAAAACAGGAATGTAGACATGATGTAAAAATAAGACATTGCTCCTCTGTTCAGCAGAGCCAGGGGATATGTACTCTGTGAGGTAACAGTGCCAGCTTTACCCTCATGGGTCTCTCTTGCAGGTAGAACATTCCGATCTCCAGCAGAGTCCATGTAATATAGTCTCATTACAAACAGATAAAAAAAGGCAATAGTTGCATTCTTCCAGTGCAAAGGAAATGCTGCATCTCAGATAGCTTGTGTGGATGCAGCCCATTTTAGAGCACATTAAAAAATAAAAGGGGGTGTGCTATTTTTTGCAGAATTCAAGCTTGCTTGAACCCTTTAAAAATAAAATAGCAACAGCCTGATTATTCATTACACCGAAGCAGATTAAAGAAAAATAAAACAAGTTAAAAAGGCACGAGAGTCAGATCTCATTTATCGTTCTCTCAGTCGGCCGGTATTCAGATGTCCCCGTGGATGACAGATAGAATGACTGCGTCTTCCTTTTTAACCGGGCTCGTTTGTTAGCCAGTGTCAGGCTGCGGCGGCTGGAGCTAATGATATCCGAGATAAACTTCTTACAGTCCACGCACACCTCCATGGTGCTCCAGTCTTCCATGAGCTCTTTTGGAAACTGGAGTTCATCATCCGACTTTTCCCCAGACTTAGACTTGGACCCCAACCTATACAGAACAGAAGGACATAGCCTGATTAAGTAAACAAATGCACATTACTGATTACTGTAACTTGGACAGAAAGTAAGGGGAATTACCCCCAACAATGTCACAGTAGAAATTAACAGTATGACAAACAGTAAACTAGCATTGTCAGATCAGCCGTGGCAGCTTGGATTTTTATTTTGGTACAAGTTCTCCATGACGGCAACCCTGCATGATAAGCCTTCGCTTAGTCTTCTTTGTAAGTAAATACATTGAAAATGGGACAGCTGTTCTAACCCATTCATCTCAACTAAAAAAAAAAGCTGAAATTACAGGATGTAGATCAGCTGTTACAATGGAACTTTTTGGACAGGAAGGGGAGATATCATTACAGAGAATGCAGACACAGATAAAGGCTAACTCATCTTGCAAAAAATAAAGATTTTTGACTTGCGTTCCACTGAAATCAGCTCAAATGATGTCTTTTTTTTTATTTTTTTATAAGAACTATATTTTGTATGTATAATATCTGATAACACCAATTGGTGCTTCAAGTGTAAGGAATATATTTTGTAGTCTTGATCACTAAGCAGATATAAATAAACTAACAATCATTCTTCCATCTGCCTGTACATTTTCATTACATTTATGCTGGTAACAGATACAGTCACCAATAGTCATTTGTAAAAAAAAAATCTCTTTCCTTGAATCATTGAAACATCTCAAGGATTAATTGTTCATTTTTAATATTTATTTGTATTCTTCCTATCAGAGCAGTAGCGTCAGGTTGTAAGGCTACTTTTATAACATAACATAAAAGCACCAGCTTTTATGTTATGTTATAAAATGATCTCTTTTCTATATATAAAACTGCCAACAGATTTCATTTTTACCGGCCAGACTGGTAAAATACCAACACAGTTGGCAACCCTATCTACAGCCTGACACTGGGCATATATTTGTATACTAATAAAAATAAAATACAAGTAAATAATAGCACAAATGGCAATCAAAGACAGGGTTTAGCTGCACAATATAACAGCATAACATTCAAATCTGCACAAACATCCATTTATGAGAAGAATGGAAACTCCACTTGTTTAAGACTTTAAGACTTCATTCCTTTAATCTTTTTGCTGCCAGGTCTGTACTTTATATGGACCTGACAGCAGGGGGCTTTACACACATTCCCTGTAGCTACAGCCACTGGGATTGTGTGTAAATCTGACAAGCAGACTGCTGCCTGTCAAATGGAAGGATTTTTTCCCACACACCTCCAGTAAAGCACCCCACCACTCCCCTGCCATGTGTCCAGGGCTCCGCCTGCCCATCTGCAGGCCCCAGGGCCGACACCGGCATAGCAGGTACCGCCAGGTAGAGGGTAGGGAGCGGAGTGGACTAACGTTCATTCTCCTCCCCTCCTTGTTGCTGACCCAGAAAGCGACGTGTTTGATGTAATTTCCGGGTCCACCTCTCGATGTCTCCAGGCAGCATACCTGGGAACTAATGTAATGCGATGTGCATTGCATTATATTCAGTGGAGCACAGGTGAGACATCCAGGGTCCTTTAGACCCTAAAATGTGTCGTTTAGGAGAACCTGTCACCTAAAACTCATCACATAAGGGACGTTTTGCCCCCTACGTGATGAAAAAAAAAAAAGTTTTTTAAATTGCAAAAAAATTTAAGTTGCACCCAAGCACATAAAATCCCCCCCCCCCCCCCAATTTTTTTTTTGAAGACTCCCTTCTCCCCAACCTCCACATATGAACGTAAAGGCACCTACGCAACGATTGCGATACATATGTTACATATCGCCACGTACGCCAGTGTGAGAGCAGTATTTCTAGCACCACACCTCCTTCATAACATTAAACTGATAACCTATAGTGGGCTTTTAAAGTGTCTCCTATGGAAAATATAGGGTACTGAATTTGTCGGCATTTCACAGACGAATGTAAAGTTAAGGTTTGACATGTTGAGTATCTATTTACTTAGTGCAATCCCAGCTTTTATATTTTACCAAAAATTGGGTTGTTTATTGCGTTTGTGTGCCCTAAAATTAACTTGTATTTAAATATAACTGATATAAATTGTATTTGTATATAAAGTGTATATTTTACTGAAATATTGTATTTCTAGACCTTTGTGGTAATATTGTGTGACGTAAAAAATTGGAACAAACACTATTTTATTCCCTAAGGTGTCTGCTTTCAGAAAATATATATTTGGGGGTTTATGTAATCTTCAGACCTAAAATGATTTAAGCATGTGTGCAAAAACAGCACTGGCAGTGAAAGTGTTAAAGGATAATTGCACTTATAGGATGGGGATATGCTACACATTCAGATCAATACAGAGCTCCCAACCCTCATAACATTTTCTAGTAGTAGTCAGAAATGTTTTCCACACCAGTTTAAACAGACAGCTTTGATAAAGGTACCACACATTACATTTTTTTAAAGAGGCTGCAATAGTATGTTTTAACACAGGATTAACAGTAAAAGTACAGTTATTCTTTTAAATAACTGGATATAAAATATCATAAAGACACATAGTATATGTACACTTCTCTACATGACTTACTTGGGTAAGCTTCTAGGTGGTCGATGATGACTGGTGGAAGGCCTCTCTGGCCTAAGGAAACTCTCTCCCCTCTCTGCAAGGCAGAAGGTCCCAGTGAAAAGATGGGGAGTGTGGAATATGGCTTGGAAGGTAATCTCATCTGTTTTGAAAGATTAATATACAAAGTATGTGTCAACACAGTATAAATGGAACATGACATAATAGGTCTAATATTTACTGTCTTTGCACTTCTAGCTTACCTTTTTGCAGCACTGTGAACACACAGGCCTATGAAAAAACACACAGAACATTACTAATATATAACTGTCGTTCTACAAAGACTGAAAATGACAAGAGCCTACTAACAAAATACTGCTTTCTCAAGAATGGAAATACTATATAAGAAAGAGACACATATTATTGTCATCTATTACTGTGTAATAGATCAGAAAATAGAACTCAAAAGCGCAGACAGGAACTTACCGTTTGCAGAACTGGCAAGTGTAAGACCAGGTGAACAAGGAAAATCTCTTTGTCCGACAACATAAACACAGCTGTACAAGAAAGAGAAGAGAGTACATGGTCAAAATAAAATATCTGCAGAACTGCACGTTTTCTCTGCTGTATGCCCTTAGCCAACAACATTGGATGTTTATGCTGATAAAAACATTGCATCTTTTCCTTTCCCACTGATTTAGCGAACAAACAGTGAAGGAAATAAATATTTGATCCCCTGCTGATTTTGAATGTTTGCCACTCACAAAGAAATGATCAGTCTAAAAATCGAATGGTAGGTGTATTGTAACAATGAGAGACAGAAGAGCAACAAAAAATTCAAAAGAAATACATGTCTAACAAATTATGCACTGATTTGCATGTTCATGAGGGAAATAAGTATTTGATCCCCTTCACCTTTAGTACTTGGTGGCAAATCCCTTGTTGGCAATCACAGAGGTCAGACATTTCCTGTAGTTGGCCACCAGGTTTGCAAACATCTCAGGAGGGATTTTGGCCCACTCCTCTTGGCAGATCCTCTCCAAGTCATTAAGGTTTGGTGGCTGATGTTTGGCAACTCAAACTTTCAGCTCCCTCCACAGATTTTCAAACGCATTAAGGTCTGGAGACTGGCTAGGCCACTCCAGGAACATAATGTGCTTCTTCTTGAGCCACTCCTTTGTTGCCTTGGCCATGTGTTTTGGGTCATTGTCATGCTGCAACACCCATCCACGACCCATTTTCAATGCCCTAGCTGAGGGAAGAAGGTTCTCACTCAAGATTTGTCGGTACATTGCCCTGTCCATCGTCCCTTTGATGTGGTGCAGTTGTCCTGTCCGCTTAGCAGAAAAACACCTTCAAAGCAGAATGTTTCCACCACCATGTGTGACAGTTGGGATGGTGTTCTTGGGGTCATAGGCAGCATTCCTCCTCCTCCAAACACCGCGAGTTGAGTTGATGCCAAAGAGCTCGATTTTGGTCTCATCTGACCACAACACTTTCAACCAGTCCTCCTCTGCATCATTCAGATGTTCAGTGGCAAACTTCAGACAGGCCTGGACATGTGCTTTCTTGAGCAGAGGGACCTTGCGGGCACTGCAGGATTTCAATCCTTGTCGGCGTAGTGTGTTACCAATTGTTTTCTTGGTGACTGTGGTCCCAGCTGCCTGGAGATCATGATGACAAGATCCTCACGTGTAGTTCTAGGATGATTCCTCACTGTTCTCATGATCATTGACACTCCACAAGGTGAGATCTTGCATGGTGCACCAGACCTAGGTAGACTGACAGTTGTTTTGTGTTTCTTCCATTTGCGAATTATGGCACCAGCTGTTGTCACCTTCTCACCAAGCTGTTTGGCGTTAGTTTGTAGACCTACACAAGGCTGGACTGGGCTACCAATTTTGTCCTTGGACAGCTCTTTGATATTTGCCATGGTGGAGAGTTTGGAATCTGAATGTTTGACTGCTCCTGTGGACAGGTGTCTTTTATACAGAAAACAAAATGAGATTAGCAGCATTCACTTTAAGAGACTGCTTCTAATCTCAGCTTGTTACCTGCATGAAAGACACCTGGTAGCCAGAAATCCTGCTGAATAATAGGGGATCAAATATGAAAATCAGTGCATAATTTGTTAGACATGCATTTCTTTTAAATTTTTTGTTGCTATTCTGTCTCTCAGTGTATCAGTACACCTACCATTCGATTTTTAGATAATTTCTTTGTGAGTGGACAAACATTCAAAATCAGCAGGGGATCAAATACTTATTTCCTTCACTGTATGTGGGTATGATTGCATATTCCATGTCTACTGTCTTAGGCATTTCAGACAAACATAAGTTTCAATCAATGACTGGTAAAGAGTACCAGTCAAAAGTGGACTTCTCTAAACATCTGATATCATTTTTACAAGACTTAAAGGGTTAGTTTGCCTTTACAGAAAAAAATGTAAGGGTAAACCAACGCCGGACACCCCCACCCCACTGAACTGAACTCTGGGGTTGCCGATCCACCCCTACCCCTAGCCACTCTAGCAGCTCTGCGATTTGAAATCCCTGGTCATCTCTCTCTTCTCTTCTCCATCAGCCCTTCCAGGACAGACCAGAAGGATCCATGGGGGTGGGGAAGGTGTTCAGTGTTAGTTCATGGTTACTTTTTTTCTGTAAAGATGAACTAGCACTTTAAAGTGAACCTATGCTTTACAAAGTAACGGATTCAATTATCTGCTGCCCTCCCTAGATGCCAGAAGTGAAAAGAGGAAACCCAACGTAAGCGTCAAGTCACACTCAACTGAAGCTGTATGGAAGCAAAGCAAGTGTGTGTGTGTGTTTATATACCGGGGTAGGACAGCGATCTAGAGCACCTATTGCTGTGCCCTGCATTGAAAAGTACAGGCTCACTTTAAATTATTCCTATTGTGCTCAGAAATAAACTATTTTTCCTCTTTACCCTCAACCTAAAGGTGCCTCTTGAAATGGAGTCGGAGCCGATGAAACGCCTGACAGACACACCTTCCCATTTCTGTACAATTCTATCTAAATTTAGTAGATTGTATGCCTTGTAAATTATGTAAGCCTTGCCTGTGTACACACTTATTACAATTCTTCTGTTTGCCATAAACAAGTCATTGCAAGTTTTAACTACAATTTTAATTAGTTCCCTGGTGAGCTATTACAGGATTATAAGAACACCATCCATGTTCATTATCATAGAAACGTCAGGTTACACACTAAAGAAAAATATGCAAACTAGGTCATCCTAATAAACTGTCTTCTTATTTATTATTCCAGGTACTCATATAGCACCGTCAATTTCCGCAGCGCTTCACATATTTGTAGCACATTCACATCAATCTCTAATCCTCAAGGGGCGTACAATCTAAAGGTCCCCAACTCACATTCATACACACATTAGGGCCAATTTAGATAGGATCCAATTAACCTACCAGCATGTCTTTGGAGTGTGGGGAGGAAACCGGAGTACCCGGAGGAAACCCATGCAGGCACAGGGAGAACATGCTCCAGGCAGGTAGTGCCGTGGTTGGGATTCGAACCAATGACCCTAGTACTGCCAGTAACCATTTAGCTACTGTGCTGCCCCCAAACTAGACACTGCTGAGATTCTAACTCTGGATCTCCAGTTTACTAGACAGGCGCTTTAACCAACTAAGCCACAGCACGTCATGTGCATTCTTGACCCATACATTTATGTGATAGCCAAATCACCTCAAAGAGGAATCATTGTTTACTAGTGTACAACCAGAAATGGATGCTGTGGAATTGGCAATCAGTTGTGATTTCGATGTTCTCCTTTTTCACAGTATAAATTGAGTGACTGCTACATCTTCCTTGGGCACCTTTAGTAAATGTCTATAATGTATTTGCAGCTTCGCTGGTCCAATCGTAGGTTGCTATACCTCTATGGAGGGCTGCCGTAACCTCCGGATAATTTTTGCTCTCCATACAATACTAGCAGTGTCACCTTCAAAGTGGTGTACAGCTTATATGGTTAGCACCTCCGCCTGGCAGTACTAGGGTTGTTGGTTTGCATCCCAACCACGGCACCACCTGCCTAGAGCTTACATGCTCTTCCTGTACCTGCATGGGTTTCCTCCGGGAACTCTTGTTTCCTCCAACACTCCAAAGATATGCTGGTAGGTTAATTGTGTCCTGTCTAAATTGGCCCTAGTATGTGTATGTATGAATGTGAGTTAGGGACTTTAGATTGTACGCTCCATGAAGGTTATGGATTGATGTGAATATACGATATATATGTAAAGCGCTGCTTAAATTGATGGCGCTATAGAAGTACCTGTAATAAATAATATATAGTATTTGCAATTGCGGTTTAAAAAAAAAAAAAGTTTTAAATGAACGTTCCTTTTTGTTAGGTGGCAACAATAAATTCTAGGGAAATCGTTCAGAAAGATAAATCCAATAATGAATAATTCTGATGTTACTGAGGTTTGCAGATACAGTCATTTAAAATGTTTGTATAGCCAAAACTTTTCTTTGTTAGTTTTGGCTATAGAAGGTGAGGAATAGTACTCCCTAGTAACCATTTTCAGAGACACAATAAATGATCGGAAGCACACATTTTACATTTGTCCTTAGAACAAGAGGTAAGGGAAATCATTCAAACTGTCTGAGAAGGTATTTCTCCTGACTTTGTAGAGATTTTTATTATCATTTCTGGTTGTATTTCCTGGACAGGAAGTAAAGGTAAATCTTCCTAACAGTAAAATATACAGTAAAAAGTGAACTGAGGGGGTGGTAGTCCTTCCCTACTCTACCCGGATTTCAATGAGCACTCTGGATGTAGCTTTGGAAAGCATTCAGAAAACCTTTGGAGATTCTAAAACGTATGTTCAGCTTTAAAGAATAAATCGCCTCTAACGTTGAGTGTCCTACATGTGTGGATATTGCTGCGTTATATAAAACTATTAGAATAGTCTTTTACATTTTAGAATGGGGTGTCTCAAGACTGTCCATAAAATTTTAAAGGGTGCCTCAGGACTGTCCGTAACTTAGAAGATGCCTTGACATTGTCCATAATTTTAAAGGGTGCCTTGGCTAAAAAAAGGCTGAGAAGCACTGGTTTAAACAAAGTCCTCAATTGCATTTGAAAGTAGCTTCTTAAAATCATCTGCAGACAGTGATGGCTCCATCCAGAGATATTGTAGAGATGGAACAGCCGTTGAGACATGGGAGAGAGGTACTGTCCTGTTTTTTTTTGGGAGCTCTCCTGTCACAGCTGCTGCTAATCAGAGGTGGCAGGAGAGACCCATATAGGACAGCAAGCATAGTGTGCTATTTAGGTAAAGCTTAATTTACACTTTAAGCAAACCTCAGTGCTGCTCTTCAGTCTAGCATTAACAAAAAGATGCCCATGCACACTGGGCCTTATAGTCACAATTCCTTACCAAATTCAAACCTTGGAAAGGTTAAAATGTTAAAGGATAAGTTCACTTTATTAAATAAAAATAATAAATGCACATTTTTTGCAAGTAAAAAAGTGCATTTATTTATTTTTTGGGAACCTGTAAATCATTG